AGACTTGGGAAGCTTCCTAGGCACACAGTAACAATTTCCTAAGCCAACAGAAGGCTCAGGGCTATCGCCCAGCAAGGCCATCCTTTTCTTCCACAGCTGCGGGCTCTGAGAAGATATCGTATCAGTCCAAGAAACGTCTTTCTCGCCTCTCACCCAATTAAATGGGAAAGCAGCTCCCTCTACCTCTCACATAAATTCTCTGTGCTCCAAGAGGCAGTTCCAGCCATTCTACTGCTAAAGCCTCAGACAGATCCCAGACTTGCCCTCTGAAGGCTGCTAAAGCTTCCCAGAGGACAACAGTGATGGGAATACTCCTTGGTTCTGTACTGCCAGGGCCTTAATAAAGGGTTTGCATATGCAGGAGAGGGAGAGGAAAGAAGCACTGGCTCAACCTCACAGTGCTGCTGATGTTTACTACTCTGGGGCAACAAGCAGCAATCAAGTTCTTCTGTAATACAATGAATAATGGTAAATTTCAATGTTGTTGGGTTTTTTTTGCAGTTGCCTTTTAAAGTTTTTGAGGTCATTATTTCTACCTCACAAAGCACACACGGTAACATTCCCCTGAACACTATTTAAGCAGGGAGATCAAAAGAGCCTTTACCTTCCAAAAAGTGCCCAAAGCTGTGGGCACTTCTCACACCTGCAGAACATCAAATCCTGTCACCCTTTTCCTCGTGAGAGGAAACTGGGGTGCATTTCAACATTACCCTTTGCACAAGTTGCAGAAGAGTTCTCTGAAACTAAGGTGAATGGAAAGGTGGCCACGTGTGGTCCAAGGGAGTATATTTAATCTCTAGAGAGAGCTGTGGATGAGCTCATGACTGAGGTTCCTATCAGATCTGATACATTGTTAGATCCAGTAAAGAACAAGAGAAACTTTTGCGGGAGGATGTGTGTTAAACCAAAGGAGTTAGGAGTTAAAAACCAGGGCAGTGGAAAGCCCAGTGGAACTGTTCATGAGCTGTATTTCTGCAGGAAATGAGAACCCTCCTCTCACATCTGCATCCGATGTTAAAAGAAATAGGCCTTCTTCAGTCAGTCAGCACACAAAAACCAGTGACTGTGCATTTAGAATTTACTCTCCCAGATGAGCCTCACAAAACATTACTTGAGAGCCCAATAAAGCAGAAACAACCTTTGAAAACTCAACTTTGGTCCAAACAAGCCACCTGTGTAAACAGAGTATGTGAACAAGCCTGTGATCAGAGCAAAAGGCTGATTTTCAATATCACATTCTGACAAGACTTTTTCTAATACACCCACCCTCATGCTCACAATAATCAAGTCACAGCCTGAGATGGGAAGTGATGCAACAAGTGAAATAGTGCTAAAAAGGTGGAGCACATGCACCCAATCACTTTATAGTTCTATCTTTTTATAACTCTTCCTAGTTTCATGATCAGATCTTTACCCTGACTGAATATGCTATCCTTATTCTGTTTTCCTTAAATCACATTTGGTTTTAAAATCTGTCCTGTAATTTGTCACATTCCAAACACGTCCTCCTCGAGAACAACAAGTGTTAAACTGTTGAGGTTTAACTGGTATTACTCAGAAATCCACCAAGGGAGTCATTTCTAGAGCTGGGGTTCATGACTCGCCCTAAGATGCAAAGGCTGGTGACGTAAAGCGCTAAGAACACAGCTGAGATTCCCTCTTGGCAGAAATGACAGACAGTCCTTTTGACAAGGGACAAATAAAGTATTACAGAAACATGTAAATAATGATATTTACATTTACGACATGGTGTCAAGTCATTAATAACTACTTATGTCGCAGCAAGGATGAACGTTGTTGTCCTGCACGATTCTGCCCCAAATAAAGTGCTCTAGAGCCACACTTGGAGCGGTAAAAATTCAGAGTGACCACACAGCTACACAGCCTGATGAAACCTCAGTACCTTGTGGGGTGCCAAACATGATGTTAACAGTGCAAGAGCGGTGAACTTGATGCTGCTGGGTGATGACAATGGCAAAAGGAGACCCTCCTCTGCTCACATCGTCCAGGGCTTGCGTCAGCGACATCTCTGTGTTGAGGAAGATCAGGTCCACTACCATGCCCAGATCCCGCACCTTCCGCCCCACCGACTCCGCGTACTCCCTACCACAAAGCAAAGCCAGCAGAGTTCAACAAGTTAGTCACATACAGAAACAGAAACCCTGGCACATTCACCCGCTCCATCATCTCAGATTTGCTTTTCTGACGGCTTGCCAAACTTCATCATGTTTAACAGGACAGTATTAAAGCAATCTCATTACAATAATATAAAAGCCCTTATTTTGATCTGAGTCAGTCATTTCAGTTTAACTGAAATAAATTACAAATCAAGCCTTAGCTTAGCTGAGAAACAGAGTGTTTGCAAAGGGATTTACATTTATTATAAATCTGTTTACATATAAGTGTGTTTAAACTGAAGTCATTGAGGTAATTTGCGTATGCAGAGATCTAAGGGGTATGCAGCAGAGTGGCCAACCTACAGAAGTCGGTGACTTGTGCTACGATCAGTATCTTAACTCTTCAAATGCACAGTTCTTCTTATCGTCCTGCTCTTCCGTTCTGCTGGCTGCTTTCTGCTCCGACCCAGTATCAACACAGCATCTACGGATCCACTGTTCCTGCATCCACTGTCCTGCACACTTCCCATTCCAAGCACAAACCAGAGCACACACAGCTGAGCTTAAAGTTTTTAAGTCTTTTTTTAAGCTTACTATACTCGGTACCAAAACTGCAATACTGACTGCATACACATTCTGTGGAGACTTAGTCTGCATACATCCACATCTTCTGAAAGAGGTTCAATTTACTGTCTTTGGATGTGAACAGTGTATGGTGACTAAAACTGTTCACCCCCAAGAACTGTCTTTTTAAGGATTTCTAATTTACACTGATTGTGTATCTAAGTCATTTGGGAGTTACCTTTCAACAGGTCTACTGTAGGCGACATCAATGCTTCACTACCCAAGATTTATTAATGTACTCCAGCTCTTACGGGTTGTAGTTGTTACAGACCAAAATAATCCTTAGGATATTAAACTGATCCTCTTGCACAAAAAAATTCTCCCTGTATCAAGTACAATAACTTGTGGTCTATTAGAATATCTTCCAAAGACTTTCAGTCACCAAGGGATAAAAAAATCTAAAATTTCCTTTCAAGATTTGTTCCAATAGGTAATCAACTCCATTAAAAGCAAACCACAGAAGTTTATTTCTAGTTTCACTGCTTCCCTCATTCAGATATCCTGTTCTGTCTTCTACCACCAGATGAGGCAAGCACCAGCTCTCTCTTTCTGCCTCACAGATACAGGAAGTTAAATAAAAGCAATTCCTGATCTTTTTTCCAAAGGGCTAAGGAGACAGAGCTTTGAATTTGCCCTTGACAAATATTTTCTTCAGACTCCAAGCCAGATCTATGATTTATTTACATATTTGCTACTCTTCAATATATTTAAAGACACAGACATCAGACTGGTGCCAACATTACAGCCTCCTCCCACTGTACCAGGCATAGGTGTCTGTTCCCAACAGACTGCCACAAGAGATCACCCTGGTTACTACTTACACGTGCTTTTGATATCGTTCATGACTACTTTCAGCTGTGATCTTATCTTTCTTGCACGTTGGATTAACAGTAACAACTGCTATCTGACCTAGCAACCCATCTGACAGGAGCTCTGCAACGAACACCCCCGTGACTCCACTCTGACAACTGCTCTGTACTATCTGCTGGTTGGCACATATTAATAAGTTCTGTATCATTCAACCCACGAATAACAAGTGCAGGCCGCTATAACCTGTCACGACAATAGGCTGGCACAAAGAGTAGGCAGAAAAGTATCAGGAGAAGGTATAGTGATAGATGACAAGAAGGAAATAAAAGCAAAGCACAAGAGACAATAATTCTCCATCTTATCAACATATATTCCCAGAAGAGCAACAGGAGGTGTAGCTTTCTGAGGGCTCTACAGCCATGTTCCTCAAAAGCAACCCCTAAGACAAACAGCCTCAAGGCAGGACCAAGTTTAATTCAATTTTCCTCTACCATGCAATCATAAAATTAGTTGTAACTATTTTCTTACTTTGTCTGTTTATTCACCACTATCACAGAACAATCCACAGGTCTCTCTGCATCAAAACGTCTCTTGATTTCCTCATAGTACTGACGGTAGAGCTCCTCTCGGCGCCGCTCCTCACGCTTCAGACGGTCTGAAAGCAAGTCACAGGGACAGAACAGATAACGTCCTGTGCACTGCTCGGAGCGTCACAGAACGCAACGCACTCAGCACTGCAGGCATCTCCCGCATCATTCCAGAGGGAGAACCCGAATCTGCCCGTTGGAACATTACAGGCACTCACCTTCTGAATTCACTGGTGCTCTATCAAAATTATCTTTGTAACGGTCGTAGTAAGAGTCGTCCTTCCGCCGATAGTAGTCTTCAAGGCGAAAGTAACGGTCGTAAGCTTCATCTCGTCTGCAACATTTAAAGAAGAAGCAAGGGTTTCCAGGCTCCAGCGCAACCTCAGGCAGTAACTTTGACCAGTACATCACACGCAGACCTTCCTCAGGTTTAATTTCTGAAGTACCCAGCCGCTCCCCACAAGGCACAAAGCAGACACCCAACTGTCCACAGCCAGAGCAATTTCCTTGTATTTAATACCTGACACCACTCAAACCAGTGCAACCATTGAGGCAGGAGCGCCATAAAAATGTGTCAGCAAAAACAATCCCGTGGAAGTTACCTGTACCAAGGGTCTCTCACATCTCGTGGGTTTCTCATATCCCGTGGATCCCTGTAACGCTCATACAGCGGCTCCCGCAAGTCTCTTGGATCCCTGATATCCCGTGGGTCTCTGTGCTCTCTAGCTCGAATGTCTCGAGTGTCTCTGGAATCTCGTCCGTTTCTACCATCCCTGCCATCTCTGGGGTCTCTCCGTGGGCTCCCCCGAAGAGGGGAGCGGTCGCGTCTGGCATCTCGGCCATCCCCGTAGGCATACGGCTCTCTGAGGAAAACACCAGGGAAATTCCATCAGACTGCTAATGACACCAGTACTGTTACCCCCAGCTCTCTTACCTGAGGTGCCAAAGTGACCCTTCTCTCAGCAGCTGACTCCTCCCTCCTATCCCACAACAAGAATTGCCCAAAAAACATATTTATTGAAGGAGCCTGGAGAAGCTTCTCAGTTCTAATGTTTATCATAGCCAAACAAGACCCAGAAGGCTCCTTAATGGAGCATCAGTAAGTGTAGAGCACATGTAGAAGTAAACAGGCACCTCAGAAACCACCATTTCAAGGCCTCTGGCCCCCACTGTCATCAGCCACAGTTCATCTACCAAACATGTTTTTGCAAATTCTTTGAGAGAATTCAAGGTGCTGTAGCCTAATACCCACAAATATGCAATAGCCAGGAGCATTCAAGGGATCCATTCACTAGTCAATGACAGCAGAATACCTGAAGTAATTTGTTATCGGCATATGATTAAAAAAGGAGCTTGTTGTGACCAAAGACACTGTAGGTTCCATGTTGTGGCTGGGTTTGTGCTGGTAGCAGAAAGCAATGACAGCTACTGCCATGTCCCGGATTTGAAGGGATAGTTTCTGTAGAAAGCCAGTCTTATGTTTACGGTGCCTCATGTTAAGAGGGTCCTAAACGCAACCAGCGTGGCATCCTCAGCAGCACCAGGCTTCTCTGTCACATCTGAATGATCCAGCTCATTCAGACTTTGCACTGCACTGTCTTCGGAGGCAAGGAAGAATAACCTTCCAGTCTTCATCTTTTCCCAAAACAGTAGGGTGTCTTCCAGGTCATATCTTGTTTTCCAAAAAGTCAAACCAAACCAAACCAAAACAGAATTTCACTGTAGTCTGAGTAAAACATAAAAAAAAAAATCTTGCAGAGAAACGACTGAGCTTCATGTGTTTGGGATGTTCTTTCCCCAAGACACTGACAACCGTCGGGGGAAAAAAAAGAAAAAAAGCTTTTTGAATCTTTTTATTTCCAAAACTTGACAGACTTTTAGTCCTCTACCAGCCTAATCTAGTTTATGAAAGACAAGCAGAACATAAGTCTGTTTCCAGTACAGTGCGTTCACACAGCAGTCACCTGGAGAGAGCCGCGGCAGCAGCGAGTCAGACGTGCCCCAGTTCAGCATCAGGTAGAGCCAACAGGAATGAGACGGGTGTGCAGAGGCTGTGCAGGGACTTTGGTGATCAGATACCCAGCTGTGCTGGGGACACACAGGAGTGCTGGTGTTCTCTGTTTTTATGTCAGATAAAAAACAGACCTTGGGACAAACTACAGAGTTGCTACCAAGATCACATACAGCCTCCTCCTGTAAAAGAAACACTGTGTTTGCACACAGACAAGTGTCAACTCCCTCAGCCTCTTGGACACACAAATCCACTTTTTGTTTGTGATCTGTATTGAAACCATACCCCACGAGAGATACACCTCACTGCCCCTTCCCCCCAACCTACAATGACCGATGGCAGGAGCTCAGGGGAAACTTCTGATTTGCTCCAATGGATATTGAGTAACTGATCTCTCGGTAGCTGTAAGACTAGACAGCAAAACAGCCAGATGCAGTGTAATTGTTTGGCATATGACATTTATTCCAGCCGGAGAGGGGGTGACCAGAACAGGCCATACTCATTATTTGCAGAGACAAAAGGATCCGGAACAGACAATGCACAACTGCAACAGCAGCACAGACGTGGCGCAGGTCCCCTCTGCCCCTGCACCTGCATCGCTGTCCTGCTGCTCGGAGAGAGAGAGCAGCACGAAGGCACAGGAGCCTCCTGCTTCTGCACCTCTGCCACCACGGTCCGACTTCTGCAGCATCAGCACTGCTGCCCACATCTGCCCAGGACTCGGCACCATCGCCTGCGGTGCAGCGCGGGGCTCCGCACCCCGGCGCCAGCAGCTGTCGGTCACACGCCTCAGCATGGTCCAGAGTCCATCGTCCGCTGTCACTGCGCCCACAGCCGCGCCCAGGACTCGATGCCCATGACCTTATTACCACCCACGCCCACAGTGCTGCTGGGGACCTGGTGCCAGTGACACAGGATGGCCATGGGTCTGCAGCATCAGCTGGAATCCAGTGCATGTCACAGTGACACCAAAACCTTCGGCAGCCATGGCGGTAGTCCAGTGCACAACCAGTGCCCACGGCACCACTGCCCACAGCTCACGCACCCCCAATGCTCCCTGGAGCCCACAACATGGGCATCTGCTCCTGCACACCTGCAGGATGACACAGGTCCCAATGCCCACGGCATCAGTGCCTGCTGCTTGTTCCTCTGCAGTGTGGTCCAAGGACCAGCGCTCATGGCACAGGCACCCGCCCACACCCGCAGTGCTGCCCAGTGCCTTCGTTACGCGCCCACAGTGCCACTGAGGTCAAAGAAGTGCCATCAGTGCCTGCTGCTCACGCACCTGCAGCATCCTCAGGGTCCTGCTGGCAGTACTGAGCGCACCTGACAACGCCCAGGCCCGAAGCTTGCTGCATCCGTAATGGGAACACCCAGCCGAGCGCCCAAGGCAGCTCCTGGGCCGTGACCACGTGCTGGTCTCTACAAGTGCATTTGGCTCTGTGCAGGGAAAGCGCAGCGCGGACAGAACACCCAGGTGATGCCAAGAACTGCAGCTACTCCTTCTCTGTTTTTTTGGTGGCAGATGTTGCTAGTTGCACTTTTTCTTCATTTTTGGTAAATTAAAAGGTCAAGTTAGTAGAGCACACCAGGCACACGAGGGTGTGATGACCTTCAAGACCAACAAGCAACACTCCTTTGTGTAGAAAGCTTTACAGTCCAAGCACAGAAGATGCCTCCTGCCAAACTACAACCGCAGCACATCTTCGTGCGCTCCCCAGTAAGGCCATGGAAAGGAAACTGAAGTCACATTCGCGTTCCTGTGACAGGACAGTCTGTGTATTCTCCACTTGCTGACGTGCAGGAGCTGCACACGCCGTGCTGGCCAAGGGGTGGGAAGACAGGAGAAGCTGGCAGGTACACAACACAGAGTGCACAGAAGGGGACTGGTTCCAAGTACGGACAGCACAAGCATACACACAGACAGGACAGTGCAATAGAGACGTTGGCTCTGTCTTGTGCTTCGCTCACATGTTCTTTTCCAGTCTCGCTTCAGCACTGGAAGCTTTCGACATCAGAAGAGGCAAGATGCCCAAATCCTCTGTAGCACAGCCCTGGGAATGCTACAGCCCCTCGGCGTTCTCTTGACATGCCTCGGCTTCTCTGAGGCTTGAGGCAGGAGCAAACACCAAGTGTATTCTTCCTCACAAGTCTCTTACAACCTGTGCTGCAACACACAACGCTTGGCTGTAGTAACAGCAGACACGAGGTTTATTTACCTCATGCCTCCTGAGGTGTCAGCGCCAGAAGGGCTCTTACAGGAGGTGGAGCAGCCACGTCCCAACTGTCTCGCCTGAGCATCTCCACTGGACTGGGGAGGTGGCGGCAGGGAAAAGACACAGACATTTAGCACAGGCCACCGGGCTCATGCCCTAAAAGCCTGACCTTCCTAGGATAACTCACTGCTTCCAGGTACTTTACCTTCGTGCCGGACTGGACCTTGATGAAGCCTTATTCATATTTCTTCTTTCCACTGCTTTATTAATATCTGTAAAGAATAATCAACCCATCTGTTCAATGCTATGGAACAAAAAAGAAGATCGTCAACACAATTCAAATGAAAGCAACTTAAGCTCAACAACATCCAGATGGTGCAAGAAAACCCATTCAGCGGAGAGACATTGTCACTTTGACATTTTTTTTATTAAGTTTAGATAGTACAACATAATGAAATGTTCATGGATTTCTCTGACTTCAAAATAGAGTGGACAGCTTGGGTGATGTTTTAACCCTTTACGTTCAGGTCTACATCCAGACTCCTCATTCCATAAGAGGATCTCTTTCTTCTGCAGTCTATGAGCGAGCAGAAAGCAACTCATGGACTCTAGGAGAAAAAGCAGAGTCTGAAAACCTCTGAGAAAGGAAGCTGATGGCCAGCACAGTCTTAAGTTCACAGCCAGTCCTGTTCAGCGGAACATGCCGCTACCCCTGTTGAAAATAGCCCAAGGGCTCTCAAGTGGCACATGCAGCTGCTTCCCAAGGGCCTGCTGCAGCTTTAAGCTGTACAGCCTCCACCACTGAGGAAACGGGATCCAAGGAGCCTGAAGCACAAGCTCCTAATAAAGTCAACACGGTGCATTTAAAACACCACTGTTAACATGATGCAAACTGATGCAACGTATCAGAAATTGGAAAAATGGTTGGCTTCTGAGCACCTCCATGAAAAACATAATGAAGAGAAATACAAAGAAATAAGAGAGCTGAAGAAACAGAGTCTTGTCCTCAACCAGAAAAAGTGAAGTTGCCCAGAACTGGAAGGGACTCATGCTGTTCTACTGTGAAGAAACAAAGCCAAAGTAACAGCAAACCAAAGATGAAATAGTGTTCTGGAGGGGGGGGGCAAGAGCAAACAGAAATGACTTCAGGTGTTTCACTCTGAGAGCCTTTCAAGGAAAAGAACAAAACAAACCGAGGTCCTATCTGCTCCCTGAGAATCTATCAACAATTAAAACTGTATATTAGTTCTTTACATTAACTACTTCCAAAGCTCTTGCAAGAGAATAAACGTGTCGCAATGTCTTTAGGCAGACTCAGGCTCAGCATCTTGGGCAACTTCCCAAACTATCCTTCATTACTTTCAGGATTAAAATTTGAATTAAGGGATTGGTTTTAACATTTTGCTCTTGTTGAATTTCAAGCAGCAGTGTGTTCTAGTTTTTGTTTTGGTTTAGTTTGGACTTTTTTTGGGGGAAGAGGCAAGTGCAACCCAAACGTTAACTACAAACGCAGCAAACAACATCCACAGGACCACAGAGCAGTCTCTCCAGGGTCAAATACGGCTGCGCTGTCTACTGGCACAAACTGAATTTGATGGACATTTATTCCCTGCATAGTTTTACTCATTAAAGGTATGAAAACACTTCTATGCATTTGTGGAAGTATTAGTATAATGCAATACTGGAGTTAAACCTTTCACCTTATTGTGCTATTAGTAATTACATCTAATACCCAGGCTACATAAATAAAGCAACTGTTCTCCTTGTATTTATTTTTTAGCTGAGAATTTTTTTTCCCCTTAAAGTCAAGTGTTACCTTTAAGCAAGACACTATCTGCTTTCTTGGGTTTAAGATTATTTTTATTTTCTGTTTTAAGATGCCATTGCAGAAAACTATCATGATTTTTACACTGAATACCATACATTTCTTTAAAATTAAAAAAATGTATTTAAATCTGAACAAAAATATTTTACTAGAAGAAAACACACCTTTGACAGGGATCCTTCTCTTGTGCAAAATGAACAGATTTAATAACATTTTATTTAATGCCAACAACATTTACAAGTTAAGTCTGTGAACATTGACAAAACTTCAGGAAAAAAAAAAGTCTTCTGTCCTGTAGGATTTTGAGATGACAGGGCCACTGTAATCTCACAGTGTAACCTTCTGAATAAACACAAGCGACAGGAGTTTCTCAAATCACATTCCTATCTCAAGTGCAGCAGGGACATTGAACTAGAGCTCATATTTTAGCAAAACATGCAATTCCAATTTAAAAGTCTTCATAGCACAGAAACTACCAAAGCTCCATTAAGTTAGTACAAAAGTAAATTACTTTGTTGTTAAAGACAACTATTTATTTCCATTTAAGGACTTGTCACACCTATGCCTACTAGATTAGAACTCCCTTATCTCCGGGACTGTCTGTAACGCACAGATCACGCCACTCCTTTATTTTGAGGCTTTTGCTAGGGCTTGTCCCTCCACTCTTTAAGCCTTCTTCAGGTTTTTTGGAGGCTTCTCCAATTTAGCATTATCCTTTCTGAACCAGGCATACCACAGCTGAACACAGGATCCCAGCAGCAAAACCCCACAGGTACCAAAACCTCCCTGCTCACTGGTCTGTGGTTTGCCCAGCAAAGGATGACAAAAGCACTCCTGCTGGGTGCAGAGCTTCCCTTTCAGCTTTCCTGAAAGCTCAGTTCTGCTTGCAGCCAGCTTAGGAAGAAGTCCAGGTCATTTTGCCATCAGTGACTCAACCTTCGTTATTTCATTCTCTTTTTAAAACATGATCGTGTGTTTCCTTTCCAAGTCACTTATGAAAGCACTGTGTGGCCAGGAATCAATTTTTTCCAGACCACCACTCAAAGCACTGAGCAATTCCATCTCTGTTACACTGAGATGCAGCTCAAATCTATTTAACCCTATGTTGTTTTAAATTGTTCTAGTTTCTTAATCAAATCAAATATCTTGGAGAGGCCTTTTACATCAATGCTGCTACTTTCAGCTATGAAACTTGCAGCACCATAGAGTAAGTTAGCTTGACAGGATTTATTTTGATTGGCATTAATTAATTCCCTTTTCATTGAGTGTCAGGTGAAAGAATCCCTTTGTTCTCAGGGGCTGGTGCCAGGCTCATCCCATTTACCCTGCTACTGGCACATCCGCAGCACTCCACTGGCTCCCTGGAAACTCCCCAGTTTTCCAAGGCTTGTGATAATACAACTTTAACAGCCTAGGCAGGTCTTCATCTCACTGAGCCTCACGGATGCTAGATTTCATTTTTTGGAGAGGTCTAGTTTTGATAGCTGCTGTTTTACCTTTTTTATTTTGCTACTGAAATGGAAATTATACTAAAACCACCTTCTGCCTCCTCAAAAAGAGCAGAAATATTAACTGAAGTCTAGGTGGCACTTTCCAGTTAGAAATTTTATCGTTTCCAGACAGTTACACCTTAGCTTCTGAAACAGCTGCAGTTATTCCTATTTAAGCCTCTAGACTTGGACAACGCTGGCCATAATTTCTTCTACCCTCCTTGTCTATTTGCCTCCATTTCCACCTTCAGGCTTGTATCTGTTACGGTACACACACCTTCCCACAAGTTATTATTTATTGCTCCTTTCATTCCTTTCTAAATCAAACTGGTTTTCTTCACTTAGGCTTAATTAGAAAGTAATTGTTTTGCTTGCATTTAATAGATTACTCTTAGATTTCTAACCATTCATTTCTGTTTAAGTTTGCTCCCAACATATGTAGCAGAATTATTTTCCTCTTTATGAAAATAGTCTTTTTAAAGCACCCAGTATTTATAGTGCTACGTACAGACTGATATCACATGTGCAAAAAAATCCAAGTTAGGATTAATATCTAAGTGCTGTGACCAGTTCCTCTGACCCTGTCGAGATGAAGCCAAATACCGGTTTACAAATGTTTTTAAAGTGACGTGTGTGAGGTTTCCATGACCACTTTCCAGGGCTTACATGTTGAACAGCTTCTTATACAGGGTGATAGAGCTTTTGAAATTCTAACAGATAAGTTCAGAGTAGGACCTAGACAGTCAGAGAAAACACTGCAGATGAACCACACGGCGCTCACAGCAAATAACTCGGAAGGCAAATTCACAGCCAGCGAAAGCGACTGCAGACTAACGCCGGGCCGGTTTCGCGCAGTGATCTCACCCGAGAGCTTTACAACAAAAGCACTTTCTACCGGAACGCATGCTGGGGTCAGGAGGAGAGCACGGATCAGTTTTCCTTACCTAATCTATACCCTTTATAAAGACGACCCTTCTCACCGTCCAGAGCGGCCTGGACATCTTCTAGACGGTCATACTGCACGAACCCATAGCCATGGTACATGCTGAGGGCTGGAAGAGTTAACAGCAGGGCAAGACCGGTTACAACTACGGGAGAGCACTGACCCGCACCCAGGCCATCACAAACCCCCCCGGGGAACAAGCAAAGGGGCTCTACCCAGAAACAACTGCACAAGTTTCCTGGGAAAACCAAATCCACATGCAGAGCTTAAAGACTCTGAAATATATTTTGTAGATCAACTTCCTCCTGAGGAGGCAGTGACAAAAATACAGCCCGTGAAGTGACCAGGATTTGATTACAAGACTATGAAGTCACTTGAAAGAGTATTGTAACATCACACTGCAACCCCAACAGCTAAAACACAGCTGAAATAGATGCATTATGATTCAGCTGTACTGCAGGAATCGCTTTTGCAGACAGCAAAAATTATCATTAAAAGGTCACTTTTTAGGAACAACATTAGTCACTCCTCTCATCACCATCAAACAGCATTTGACAAGCATGGAAGTCACACTTCTCACTGAATTCCCAGCCACAAAAAGGCATAAGATAATATACTAACCCCTGATTTTGCCATATTTTGAAAATATCTCTTCCATTTCTTCACGAGTCATGTGGTCTGTGGGCAAATTGCCGATAAAAAGTCGTCTCTCTAAATCCTGAGGATTGGTGCTGTTAGTGAAGTCGCTCTGGTTGATGCTATTGCTCTTGCGTCCTCGAGCCATTTTGCTTTCGTTCCAAATCCAACTCTTCGCAAAAAAGAAAAATGGCCATGCATATAATTTCCATCCATGACATTAAAATTAAACTGGAACAAGATTAAACTTAACAGCTTTGCAGACTAGAAGCCAGCTGGGTCTGCTTGACGCAAGCTTCACTCCAGAGAAATCTTAATAGAAGGGGCAGTGAGGCCTGGCAGAAACGCACACTGCAGCACTTGGGTTGAGCTTTTCTGTAATACTGAAAGGTAGCAAACCTAATTATTTTTCAGATAAGTTTTAAGGGTTTAACTCCAAACTAAGATACAAATAAAACTCATTTTCCACTAAAACATCTTAACTTTAAGCTTTTCAATACACCCATTGTTGTAATTATCTATTTCCTCAGCCCACTGTAAGAAGTGTTGCAATTTATGCAATATTTTAATAAGCGGAAAGGAAACACTCATCACAACATTGCATAACAGGACCCAAATATTTCAATACAGGCTTTGAATGAGGCATCAGGAAGTTTCAATGCTCTTAAGTGACCATGCTTGGATAACTCTACTAAATGTGAAATCTTAGCTTTCCAGTGCCAGAAACACAGTTTCTCATCCACACCTCTTCCAAACAGCGTATCCATGTCCCATCCAGACACCAGCTCCCACAGAAGGCGGGTCCACAGCTGGGAATTTAAGCATCCCCAGGTAAATGCTGCACCGCTACCTCACCTCCCCCAGTACAGCAGAAGGACACTCCGCTAACCCCCAGTACTGCAGAGAGAGCTGGAGCAGTCAGCAACATTTACTGACCCAAAGAACCACAGCAAAAAAACACACCCAGCATGACAAACCCTACTGAGCCGACAAAAAACCCCCATGAAACCCCACCTGGGAGTCACCATCTGGTTTAGAACTCACTATTACGTAAAGCTTAAAAACAAAATCAAAACAAAATACCCCACAAACAACAACAAAAACCCCATAAAACAAAAAATAAAACAAAAAACACGGAAACTTTCAAGATGAACTGGAAAGTTGAAAACTATTTAATAAAGCTGTCACACTTCCTAAACACTCATCTACAGGAAGGCAGGATGGGATTTTCTGTTCATAGCATGCCAGAAACCTGGAAAAAGAAAGCTGATGAAACTTGAGTATATAAACAGAAGTTTCTGCTGTTAATCATGAGGTGCCTACAACCAATACGCTCCCCAGCAGTAACCTATATTTGTTACAATTTAAAAGTAGTCTCTAAATAAATAAGTCAAATATCCAAAAACATGAAATGGTTTTACACAAATACTTTTGCAACACTTAACTAGCATGAAAAATACATCTACTGCAAATCTGAGATGTAAAATGTTGGTATTTTCTTTTATGTTGTGTTTAAGATCAACCAACTTTACATTCGTAACACTTTTCTCCTTCTTTCAGGAAACTCTGCAGGGATGTGAGGCAGAGAATGTCTCCCAGTCTAATGAACTTTTAAAAATTAACTGAACTGCCAGAATAGCAAGGAGGAAAAAACAACCCAACATAAAAACCAAAATAAAACAAAAAATGTCATTTCTTCTACCATATTGCCTCAAGCCTCCCGTAAGTTTGTCCACACACACAGTTTTACCTTCCCCATCAGAAGTACCAAACCTTGTCCCATTTTTCTGCATGGAAGCACTAGATTTCTCTTCTATTCTCTGACTGCAGCTCAAGTTCTCATCAGTTGAGGGGAAAGTAGTTTTCAAAATTCTCCCAAAATGATTAAGCAGCTACAAAACATGGAAAGACCCATCTAGTCCACGTTCCCATTCGGAGCAGGGTGATGTCCAAGTTGGATCCCGTTGTCACAGCCTTCTCCAGCCGTGCCCAGAGCACTGCCAGGGACGTGCGAGCACTTGCTGGGGCAGCACGGCCCCGCGATGCCACACGCAGGCAGCACCCGGCGACAGGAGCTGCAAACGCTGCTGGTGGGACAGGTCCCTTTCAGTACAAAACGCAGAAAAAAAATTTCCCTTTTCTTAAGGGTGGGGATAGCAGGGGGTGGCTGGGGAAGAGGGTGCAAGAGCTTTCCATATGAAGAAAAACCGGGAGCTACGTTTCCACTTGCTGGTCACTTTCAAAACAAAGCAATAAATCCCAAAGACTCAGTCAGGTTGAATTAGCAGAGAACTTTTGTATAAGAGCATTTACTGCCTCTTACATTTTCCGCTTGGTACGTTACACAGTTAAGGGCCATTTAGTAACCATAAGATCAGCACAAACGAACGCTGTCCCAGCTTTGGGCAGGCTACACCACGTGAACCACTAATTTCCACATTAAGTCTTTCTCTATGAATGCAGCTGAGAGATCAACTAACGCATCAAAGGTGCCAGTCCCTGCGCAGAACCCGGGCAGGTTACTGCAACAGGACAGCCCATGGCAGTTCACAGGCCAATAAATCCTCTAGAAGTTAATTAAAGCCCCATTTCTTTAAAAATCTTGTATTTAAAACCAAAGTTATTTATTAATAGTGCTACAGCTTCAGAAAGTGAGACACAGCTTTAGTGGGAGGATGACACTAATCGGACACAAGTGAAACATCACACAGGAGTCTACAAGACAAGAATAAGGTGAAGCCAAGTGCCACAGACGGGTAGGGCGCTGAGGAGCGGGACAGCCCCCATCCTGCTCGGCTACCGGCTCTCGGCACCCCGGAGCCAG